TTCGTTTCGCCAAATTGCTGTCTATTCAAGTTGTACTGATGATGTTGCCTAATCTGGCCACGAAACGCATGGGAACAGTACTTCCAACTGGGAGAACTCATGAACATCAACATCCACATCCCGAGCCACATTATTTTCGACCCTTCTATGAATTAGGTACTTGTTTGATGAATAAGTTGTTTTTAATCCAAGGGTGAGATGTCATGTGTTGGCCTTTTATTCTGACGTGAAGTTCAAAAGTGAAACTCATGATTGATCCTCACTGTTAGCAACGATGAATTCTATCCTATGTGTCCCACGTACTTAGCCCTCTCTCTGAACCACTGCTCCATGTTCATTGAACAAATCGGATCTGCTGGATTCTTGCGGCTTCCTCCGATTTTCTCACTGATATGCCATGAAGAATGAGATAACGCATCCTGCAAACTGAATGACTGATTTTGTGTGACTAACCGATGTTTGCTTTGATTCAATAGGCTACATCTACGATCGTGAATAGCACTGTAGGTTTTTGAGGAAATGGTCTTTGATATTCCCCCATCAGATTAGTGCTTATTTCACGCCTACCTTGTATTATTACAATTTTAATCTATGTGAATTATCTGTCTTTCTTGGACGCTGTACTGAATATTCCAATCTTCTTTCTCCTTTGTACAAATGGGTAGTTAAAAACAGCAACCAAAACCGCTGTACGAAAATGCTTGGTAAATGGTTACAAAAACTGAACTAAACCGGTAAATCGAGCGCTTGACATTCATTGTGTTGGATTCACCCGTACGCACTCCACTCCAACCCGTTTGATCAACAGAATTACTCCTGTACTCCCGAACAATAACCTCGCAGATGAAATAGGCTAATTTTCCGCTAGGGCGCTAACCTATCCCATGGTAGATTTTCCGATTCGGATAATCATTAACCTCGCACAATCGGACGTATACTTTGGCTGTTGTCCAAGGCTAAGGTTATCCGTTGGATCAACTTATGAAAAAAAGATTAGAAGGAAGATGTAAAATGAAAACCCAGATTTGAAGGCAAATAATTGCTTTCGACCGCTCACGGTAACATCACCAAATTATTATCCTGGAGGATGTGTTCGTATCTCACCACCACTGCCTGACTTTCCCCATCTGTGTGTTGTATGGCAGCCCGTTGACTGGCCGCCTCACCTTCCCGAAAATTGTATCTTTCTATATTCAATAAAAAGAAATAAAAATGAAAGAGAATAAAATGCTCGTGGAGACTGACTTTCCCACCCGCTCAAAAGGCTATTCGAGAGAGGAAGGGAGTATGGGCCCTTCAGCAAGTCACTTAATGTCTGTGTTCATCAAATTATCTTTAGCTTTAACGAAAATATATCGAAAAACCATAATTATCATCGCGACGAAAGTATTGCCCCTTCCCCCAGTGACTGCATGCACAGAAACCCGTTCTAAAACGTATGCGATAGATAACCCGAGTTTGTAATTCAGCATGCAGCCGGTAACCTTGATGAGTAACAGCTTGAGAGACTGGTGTAAGCTTTGGTCATGTGGTACCCTGGTAACAGTTGCCATATGCTCACGTTACTCTCAATGACCTTGAAACTGCAAACTTATCCAAGTAGATCCATCTGCTTTGTGGCATCCTTTCGGGTATTCGAAAAAGTGAGTGAATTCCGGAAGACACGACATGGTGTGTCGGTCAGTAGTGTGTTTTTAAGTAGCATGAAAAACTAACTGGGATGTTAGTGACAAAATGAATAAGATCGATTAAACTAAGTTACTTTCGTTGTTTATCCCTATAATTTATTATTACTTACTATTTAGTCAAAGCGGAAGGTAAATAGACAGTAGTCTTTGAGTATGGGAGAAATCTCAATCTTTCGTGAAGCCCTTAACTTGACATTCGAACGGTGCGCTTTAAATGTTTTTTTTATTAAAGATAAGCAGTAGACGGAGTGGATACCGTAGTCGCAGACCTGCCGTTCATTGATGGAAACCAGAAACTAAGCATCGGTACTTGGAGTGGCAAACGACCTAAGACCACGCTAGGTCAGGCGTGGTATTGAACCGAACGACAGCGGAAACAACGATGGCGTACTCGAATAACGATCCCAGTATCTCTCGATTTCCAAGCCATTGCTCTAACATTTCAGTTAGCACCCCATTTTCAAGTAACCATTTATCCTGAAACTAGTAATGTTCCTTAGGTAATGTTTTTTAATTGAAGACCGAATTTCGATTTTAAATTACTTCCCGTTCGGTTGCACTGAAAGGGCGATCATCGAATTAGGTAAATGAGGCCCAGCATAATCTAAAAGGGTTTTAGCTATGATGATGTAATAAAATTAGGGCACAATTTACGATTCAAACTCTGCCTTTTGTAACTCAAGTAGTTTGAATAACCTTTCAAGATGAAATATCTCTAGCGAACCAACGGAGATTGGAATAATGTAACGAAGACCGCACAAAGTAAACCGGGTGAATTAGGGTTAAGATATGACATTCCCAAGTGGCCATTGCGAACTAACTCCAAATAATATTATTATTAAAATAATGCTAGCCGATTACCGGGAGGTACGCGAAACTTATACCGACATTATAATTTCTCGATTCAGTTTCACGATGGAATCACCCCCGTGATTAATGAGTATATACAGTACATTGTTTTGCAATATTTCAAGCCCCCGTTGTTGGCTACGTAATCTTTCCTTGTTTTTCTGGTGAAAAATGTGTACCATAATATCTGTAAAAGTTCATTTGTTCCTTCGCTTTTATTGTTGCTGGTGTATACTCAAACCGATCTATACATTCGTTATGGCACGCGTTTGTCAGCATTGGTGCCGCTGTTAATAATCATCACCTCAGTGACAACGTGAGCTAAACACGTGATTGACGAAGTAGAAGTGTATTGCTCAAGCAGTGAGGGCCGCGTTAGACCCACGTTTCGATGACCTTGAGTCAGTGACCTGTCCAATTTCGTCAATGCTTTGTGGAGGACTTCTCCGACTGTCGTTCGACCGGATCAGCGCGACAGGGGTTATCCATACATTAGATGCCTAACATCCTAATCGACACCCTGCTTATCAGCTGGGAAAATCGTGGTTATCGTTCACCTGTTTGCACAGTTAATTTATTTCGACCGAGCTCAGATCAACTGAGTTTCACTCTCACCAGTGAGATTTATCTTACGGCCGTAAATAATCGTGACTTTGGTGACCACAGTAATAAAAATGACCACAGAAGTTGGATAAAATGATACATGTGTTCCCTCAGTATTGCAGAGGAAACCTGTGTAGAATACAAGGATTTTGTAACACAATCATAAATCGTAGCTTACATTTGCTTGACTCTCCGCGGAAAATCAACCAGTGCGCTTTTTCATCGATTATCTGCACCCATAATCCACTCGAAATCCGAGCATTAGACATGGTCCCAGTAATTTCTGTGCTTACCCAGTTGAGATCATTTTTAATGCATTCACGGGTTCACATTCGTGTTTTTCTTTGCGACGCTTAGTTCGAGGGAATTTTATTTAAAATCGAAGGCTAAGGTAAAGGTTCATTGCTATGTGTGGCCTCACACTCCGGGAATCGGACATCAGAGATGGAAGCGGTGCTTGAGTTAAACGTTTCGGTGCGAACGGTACAACGGATGCTTGAAACGGTCCATGAGAAGAAATGCAAGAAAAAAGAAGGCGCATGGTTCTAATCACTTCAGTAATTAAAAGACCTTTGCACACAGTCGCGGTTTTGAGCGATGACTAATTACCACTTCCTTCTTAATTAATAGTCGAACAAGCCTGAGGTTGACGGAATTGCTTCACTTGTAAATGAAATAAGGGGATCACTCCCCGTCCAGCAAAAGGTGGGTCAATCGATCTATTTCTACTTGCAGAACGTAGTAGGCGAACCCTGAGAAATAGAGTACGCACCAGACCATGTTTGTATCTCACAAAGAGGAACCTCCTAAAGTGTAGATACTGTCCTGTCCACGTAGGCTCTCGATAAATAGATATTCGAAGTTTCCCGTCTCACAATCGTTAGAGTAGTAAGTCAAGAAATGGAAGTTTGGATTCCAATTCACATTCTGTCAGTTTGATATTGGGATGCAACTACTTCAAATTGTGAAACAATGTTTTAACATTCACCGAGGTTACCAAACTTTTCATAATCTCAACATAAGACTTCAATCTGACAAGCAGCAATTTAAAGATTATTTAATGAAATTTCCTATTTCGCTCTTCATACGCTTGCTGTCTTGATTCTCAAAGGTGGTGATGAGAGAGCGGAAATATTCCCAAAATCTATGGAGTGCTCTTCCTCGGGGTGTATATTAAGTAATATTTGTTTATTTGTACAGTGTCGTCCTTCATAATTGTCCAACTCAATGTGCTATTTGTATGCCTGTTTGGTTTACGCCGGCGATTGAGGAGAGTAAACGACATTGTAACATCTCGCGACATCTGTCTTCTTTCTGTATGGATGAAGCGGAGAAAGGGGACCTTATGTTTATTTCATTTCATTTTCATTTACTTCCTTTTATTGAATATACAAAGATACAATTTTCAGGAAGGGGGAAGCGGCCAATCATAGGGCTGACATTCAACACACAATGGGGCAAATTAAGCGGTGGTGGTAGTAGTAGTAGTATTTGAACACATCCCCGGGGGGATAATTTGGTGACGTTACCACCGGGAAAACACCATCAGGATGATGTTATCCCAGGAAGTTTGTTATTGTTGTCCACAAATACCATTGACTTACTCTGTGGATTACGCACAATTTGGTAAAAACGTTGATTTTTGTGCACCCTACCAAATAGATGGAAGGTGTCACTTAATAAGGCGTACAAATAATTTGTCCTTGTCGGCCTAGATAAACATCCAAACATGTATCCCCTATCCCTGAATTAAATCTGTTCAACAGTAATCTGTTGCATCCAGGTACAAAACACAGCGTTATATCATCTTTAACACCGTAGTAGTTTGTTGTTTGCAAATCTGCTGATATCATTTGACTTTTAGGGATTGCAGGTTCGTTTTTGTTTACCCAACCAGTATCTGTTTTTCTCTCCTCTTTCAACCATTCTACCACATTATTTTCCAAATACCCCTATCATTTTTGCCCCCTCCCCCTGTATGTATTTTTTTTATCCACAGTTCTGGCTTATGTCTAAGAACGGCGAGATCCGACGAGAGAGCAAATGTTGGGATGTTGGTTCGAACCCCGGTCGTGTGGCCTTGCACGATTGTCATGGCAGTAAAGGAAATCAGGAATTTGTTTATCTTGAAGTAAGTGCTTATGCGCGCTCGTCATTGCGCACTTTTCATGTTTTACATTGAATGGTATTTTTTTATTTTGTTAGTCGCTTTTCACATTTGGGTTCCTATATTTTTCTTATTTCTACGGTTTTTCTTACCCACTGTACTTCACATTCCTTCTCAACTCAAACATTCTATTGCTCCAGCTGAGCTCACTAGACACCCTAGACACTGTTTATATGGCTGGTACTTAGCAATTATTTCACCACACGTGAGTCATACAGCGTACAGTCCAACTAGTGGAGGGTCGATATTCGTCTACCCGCATGCAGTTATACTTGGTACATTTTCGGCAGAGGTTTGCAGGTGTTTCACAGTCGTTCAAGTCTTGATATTCCTAGTAAGCTCTTTCGGTCTTTGCGGCAAGCAGAGTGCCANNNGAGTGCCAGCATTGTGCAAATTGAACAACCATGTCCAGAGTGCCCTGGCTGTTCCGATGAGCGTCGCACCTCGGATGACGAAAGTGAATTTTTGAATTGCTTCTGGTTAATGCTTCCAAGCTATTTAGCCTGTTTTGTGTATTGTTTTAGGTGAAATCTATCGGTCTTCGAATCTCGTCAAAATCTTTGATGCCATGGCTTTTAACACAGGAACTATTTGCATTGGATTGTTTTATTTTGATAAAAAGTGTGAGAAATATTTGTGCATCCTATCTACGTCTGTCCTGTCGTTTGACACAATTCATTAACTTTTTTATGTCGAGATTGTGAAAAGTTCAGTAACCTGGGTGGGATTCGAATCCACACATGGACGCCGCCTACGCTTTTGTACAGCACACGCTCTACCAACTGAGCTACACATTCGAAATACCCAGCCAACTTGTAGAGGCATATGGCATCCACCAGTTAGCAGACAAGCATGCAACTTCAAACTGCCAAACAACAAGTTGAACAATCGTTAACATTTGTTTGTATTCAGTACAGTGTAATTTTAAGCTTGTTTTTTATGACCTCGATCCTTGTGTAACACAAAATAGTGGATCCTGTTAATGATTACTTCGATTTTCGAACCCGGAGTTTTTAGCTGTAAATTGCCGTATCCTGTTTCCGTGTGTCAAGAAACCTTCATAAATGTGTACGGTCCAGACGGTGAAGGTGACGTTTCACATACTATGTTAAGCACAGTTTCATGTCATTTGATCAGTCGCGCATTACATATTTACAGGGATACGTGCGCGCTCACACACTTCTATGAGTTATTGTGATATATATATATATATATATATATCGGTATCTGTATTATGTGGTGTCTTGCCTTACCGTACGATCTCCTGTTATACCAAGCCATCTCTTGTTTCAGTACATTCATGTCATCAGTCAGACATCTGCCCCTTTGATACACACTGGGCTATCGATCCGTATGTGCAGCGTTTCGCGGGCAGACTGTAGTCGCGGAACACGTGACTCCTCTTGAATACTCCACAATGCCTGATTAAATGAATTGTCTGATAACGCTACACATAATTTTCTCAATGCATTAAGTGCCCCTAGAATTATTCGTTCTTGAAAGTTTTGTTTTATCACCATCGAAATAGAAGTATTAAGGGTGCACTCGACAAGCTTTATAAGACATCTGTGTGTGTGCGCGCGCATTTGGGTATCCAATGCGCTGCTGATTAACTTAAATAGAATTTTGATTGTGATATGAAAAATAATCCTCCCACTTCATACAACGATTTAAAGATTAAAAACTTCCTTCATTAGTATGTCACATCTTGTATGATAATCATTTTTCTGACACCTCGTGGCATCCCTACAGATCGATAGGGATCTATTTTCATACACACATTTGCCACATCGACAGCTTCTCAATGTGTTTTATTCTTCGTGAGGTTGCACATAGTAGATTGTCCATCAATGATAAATTTGCTTCCCCCATGTTGTACCTGATTGGCTGCAGCCCATTGGTTGGATCATGTCACCCAATGATAGCGATAGGCGTAGGACCGCTAGCGAGCACATGTAAGTGCAATTGTGAAAAGGAAAGAAAGCGCCAGTTTGAGCAATTCAACGTGCAATCTTGCGAGTCATTCACGTTCGTATAAACACGTTGTGTGAATGGTGATGATGATGATGAAAATCGAACGTTTTGAACGAACCGTCAAGAGCCCAAATCCTGTCGTATTATGGACCAGGAAATGTGTATGTGTACGTATGTGTGAGAGAGAGATCGGGTTTGCCGTCGAGCTCATACATTATCCGAGTGCAAGTCAGGCTTTGGTGACGGGATTCGAAAATGCGTCCTCCGGTGTGATAATTTGGCGAACTTTTCCGCCTAACCACCTCCACCTGCGTTAACCGATTTAAATAAGGTGCGCATCTCAACCAAATAAATCGGTAAGATCCTGAAAAAAATTAATCGTAAATTTCGAGCACCGCTGGTCACGACATAATTGTGCTGTTGCATGGAGCAAATAAATATGGGGCTTTGGGTTGTCTTTCTGCCCTGGCAACCATTCAGTGTTTACCAAACCTATCACAATGAAACGTGGTGTGATGGCCTACGTGCCTCCATGACCCTGCGAGCTACACAGGATGGCTTTCCACAGCCGTAGATCCAATCATGCCTGAAAGGTCAATGGGTAGAAGCCGGATAAAAGCTCAGACTCATAAAGCGAGGTGCTTCGGCACCTTCTGGCTTCCTTGGTCTATCTACGCTATTCTCTGGAAAGGTCACTCCAGCAAATAAACACAGGGAGAGGCAGTTTAATGTTAGACGGACGTAGGGCTTACTCTTGACAGTGGGATAAGTCTTCACACTTCATTGGACAGCTACCGTCCATCCAAGCTTGGCCGCCCCCAGCCAATAAGGTGCTGTCCCGTCCGCGTTCCGCTTGTCTCATTGGGTGCATGGGGCTGAGGGCCGATCCCGAAAAGTGGACCGTTAACGCACCAGCGAACAACACACCTAACCGCAAGCGGAAGGCCTTGCTTGACAGGGCTCTAGAAGTCCCCACACGAGTACTTCGGTCACACTCGCGTTGGATCTACGCCCCATTGCCATGAGGGTTAGACTTTTGAGCCTAAGGCTCCGGTTAGGGTTCCCTTCGTCAGTGAGGGCCGTCGCGAAGTATGTCGTGCCCTAAAGTCTAAGATACCCACTTGAAAAAACTTCTTTCCCATCTGCCTAGTTCTTCCTTTCAATCGCGAATAATCCCAGATGCCTCCTGTTTACGCTACCCATAGGATATCACTCAGCGTTTTATCAGTAAGGCCAAGCAATCAGAAGACTTTGGATTTTTGAAGCCAAAATTCCCTGTTCACTGCACGTTCAATGTCGACGCACTCTATCACATTGGTTAACAAGCTGGCTTAGCTAGAACCACCGAAACGATGTATGCTGTATCTCCGAAACATGCACACAAGACCCTACTTTAACCCCCCTCCCGCTGCCTCTTCCTTATCCACCGTTATCCTTGCACTTCACTCTTGTGCTAAGTGCCAAGGCTGAGTGCTCGCTTCTTGACTGTATTCAGTCAGTAGCTAACTTTGCACCGTACGTCTCAACGGTTCAGCAACAACCGAACCGAGGGTCGATGCTTATTCGTCGTATCGGTGTATGCAGTACACCTGAAATCAAGGATGAATTATAAAAAGATATTTCTGAAGTACTTCAAATTCTTTGATCAACGGATGTGGTAGTAGTCGCGGGAGACCTCAATGTCCAAGTGGGATACCTGGACGAATCAGAAAAGCTTCTTTGTAGATCTCATGCAATCCTAACCAACCGGAAGGACAACAGAGAACGCCTACTCTAACTCTGCGCGGACCACGGATTGTTCCTGTTAATCACCAACTTCTCGCACAAAAAGTTACACCGCCTTACAGGAAACCGCCAACCTCTTCACAGCACTAGACCCATATAGACATTGTAGTCAGTTATCGCTGTAGGGATCGATTAAAGACTGCTGCTCTCATTGAACAACACCTAT